GGGCCAGTTACACAGGGATGGACTCACTTGATTAGTTCTTTCCAGCCGGCCAGATACTCTTGCAGCAGGATTTCTCCCTCTGGTGTCACGCAGCCCCTGAAGGCCGCCAGGAGGTGGCCGATCTGGAAGCCTTGGCCTGGGCAGCGGGGGGCCCGGGGCGGAGGGAGGGTCCCATGCCTGGGAAGGGGCAGGCGGGAGCCGAGAAGGGGCGGCTGCAGAGGGGACACAGCAGACAGGTTCTCTGTGGGGCGGCGGGGAGGGGGGGTCAGGATCAGGAAGAGGGACAGGTGGAAGGGGGGGCTGGGGAGGTTTTGGGGTGGGGATGGGGGCAGGAGTTAGGGATGGGAGGGGGGCCAGATTTGGGGCAGGGTTTGGGGGGGAGCACAAGGGGGGTTCTCACCTTCCCGTCCTGTTCAGGGGGGGCCATCTCCCCTCTGCCCCCGAGCCAGCCACAGGGCCGCCCGCCCCGAACGCAGGCCGAGAGCTGCAGCTCTGCTGTTCCAGGCCGGGGGGGGAAGGACAGAGCTCAGACACGCGGACAGGCAGACAGTGCCCCCCCCACATTCCCAATGGTCTCCCTGGTTTGCACAGGGGTGTGTGTGCACATGCTAACGACACACATGATGCACCCGGGGAGCTACTTGCAGCGTCCCTGCCGGCCTCCGGCTTTGCACACGCTAACAACATACAAGCGTCCGGCCAGTAGTCTAGGCACAGGGGCAGGCTACACGCAGGCGACATGCTAAGAACACGCCTGGTACATGCGACAGCTCACGCAGGCCGGAGCAAAGCCCCCCTGCCCCAGGGACCGACACAACTCCGCCCCTCCAGGCATTCATACAGACGCCCGGCAGTGCAGAGGCGGGGGGGAGGACCGGGGAGAGCGGTGGGGGACGTGGGGGGGTGGCGGGGGGGGAGCAGGTCTGTGGGGCCGTCCCGCTCACTCCCAGAGTTAGAGGCTGGCGTGGGTGCCAAGCGGGGGTCGCTGCGGGGGGTGAGGGAGCTGGAGGGAAGTGGTGGGGAGTGCCATGGGGCCCAGAGGTCAGGGGAATGAGGGAGGGGGCAGGAGGGTGTATGGGGCATGTGAGGGGGGCTGGGGCTGTGCGTGTCGGCCGGAGGGGTCATTGGCAGGGCCGGTGGCTGGTGGGGGGAAGGGGTGGGGGACGCGGGGGGGTGTCACTCACGGAGCCGGAGGCCGGCGAGGAAGAGGAGGCCGAGGAAGGCCACCACGGGGAGCAGGACACGCTTAGGGCCCATCCCCGCAAACCCCGGCCCCACGGCGCCCGGCCCAGCCCCACGGCCCTGATCCCTGCCCCCGCCCGGCCCAGCCACTCACCGCAGATAAGGGCCTGTTATCTGGGGCGGGGCTCCCATCCCCCCCATTCCTCCCCCCAGGGGAAATGCCCCATGTCCTGTTCCCTGGCAGAAGCTGCGCTGGGGGCGGGTGGCTGCCCCCCCACACCCCATGATTCAAACTCAGGGTGGCTGGAGGTCAGATGGGGGGCAGGGAGATGGTCAGGTTAAAAATTAACAGCGGAAGGGACTTTGCCCCACAGAGTGGAATGGGGGGGAACCTGAGGGCAGAAGAAGGCTGGAGTTTGGGGGCTCCCAGGCCCCCCTGCTCTAACCCACCAGCCCCCACTCCCCTCCCAGAGCCGGGGAGAGAACCCAGGAGTCCTGGCTCCCAGCCCCCCACTCCCCTCCCAGAGCCAGAGAGAGAACCCAGGAGTCCTGGCTCCCAGCCCCCCCTGCTCTAACCCAGCAGCCCCCACTCCCTTCCCAGAGCCGGGGAGAGAACCCAGGCGTCCTGGCTCCCAGCCCCCCCTGCTCTAACCCACCAGCCCCCACTCCCTTCCCAGAGCCGGGGAGAGAACCCAGGAGTCCCCGGTTGCACAGACTCAGCGGCGGTGGGGCAGCAGGGGGGTAGCAGGGGGGCAGTGGGGGGCATCAGGGGGGCAGTGGGAGGCAGTGGGGTGCAGTAGGGGCAGCGGGGGGGGGGCAGTGTGTGGGGGTGAGGTTCCCCAGTGCACAGAGTCAGTCTCACAGGAGTTGTTTAAGGCTTTATTGTCCAATAGCCAAGCTCCGTGCACGTGGGGGGTGGGGGTGGGGGGTCAGAGATCGGGGGGGCAGGATTAGCAGGGGCTGAGGGGGTCACCACTGCAGCCGTCACGGGACAGCCGGGGTGGGGGCTGGAGGTCCAGGGCGGGGACTGTGGGGGGCCAGTTCGGGGGCGTTCCCGGTCCCCAGGAGGGGGGCACTGGGGGTGGGACCAGCAGGACGCAGCAAACGGGGGCCGGGGAGTCTCATTCGAAGCGATGCTCCTCGCCAGCTCTCCTCCGGGGCGCTCTCCGTCGGGCTCCCGGAGGGGGTGGGAGTGGCCCCGGACGCCTGGGTTCCTGCAGCCCCTGCAGCCCTCGCAGCCCCACGAGGAGGGAGACCCCCAGGCCGTAAAGGCAGCTGGCGGCCAGTGACCCCAGGTAGCAGCGCCAGGCTGTCAGCACGATCCGGCCCAGGCTCGGGGCCCCTGCGGGGGAGAGGGGACAGTTAGCGGGGGCCGTGGCTGTGACCCCAAAGGGGGCCCGGGGGGGGGGGTTGGGGGTCCAGTACCGGTGCTCTGGAGGGCGGTGCTCCCCGCGGTCCCGTTGCCGAGAGGGTCAGGCGGCGGGAGGGGGTCTCCGGCGGATACCGAGCAACCTGTGTGTGGGGGGAGCGACAAATCTTGGGGTGAGTTACCATGGTGGGGGAGAGGGAGAGGTTGGCGGTTCGGGGGGGGGGTCTCACCTCCGCGCCCGGCTCTCTTCACTTCGGCGCTGCTCTGCTGGGCCTGGGTCTCGTGTTCCACCCGGCAGGTCACGCGGGCGCCGTCCAGCCAGGCCCGGGCCGGGAGGCTGAGCAGGCTGGCGGCCCCGGCCCCATCCCGGCCCTCCGCCGGCGGGGACGCCTCCCCGGGCCCCGGCTCCCGCCCGTCCACCTGCCAGCGCACCCGGACCGGCTCTGGGGAGAACCCCCAGGCCAGGCACAGGAAGGCCGGGCCGGCCGCCGGAGCTGGACCCAGCAGGGCCACCTGCGGCAGGCGCTTCTCCCGGGGATCACCTGGAACCGGAGAGGGGAGGGGGTCAGGTCGGGGGGTGGCATTGTGGGGGAGAGGGGGCTCGGTTCTAGGTGGGTCCTGGATCTAGATCCCATCGAGGTGGGCACCGGATCAGTCCAGTCTCTGTTCTAGGCATTTAGGGACTGGTTTTCTGGGGGTTCTAGATTGGGTTCTGGGGTGGTCCCAGTGTCAGCCTTTGGCTGGGTCGATGGGTCTCCCGGGCCGGCTCGGTGTCCTTTCTAGACAGGATCCAGGTGGGTTCTGGGCCAGTCCTCAACTGGGTCAGAGATAGGTTCTGGATTTGATTCTCTGCATGTTCCAGATGCGGTGCCAATTGGCTTCACTCGGCTTCCCACACGTTTCTGGGGGTCTGACCCAGAATGCTTTGCCTCGCAATCAAGATCGCCGCCCTGTGGGTTCTAGGTCTGCCCCCACAGGTCCCTCTGGAACCATTCGGTGGATCTGACCCAGAATGGCTCAGCATGTTCTTTAGATCAATTTGGGATGGGGTTCTAGATCAGCCCCGGGTCTTTTCCTAGGCACGCCCCCAACTAACCCACTCAACTAATGGGCCAGATCCAGAACATTTTTGTGACTCTAATCTAGAAAGGTTCTGGGCACATCCTAAATTGAGTCACTGCATGTTCTAGATCACATAGCTGTGGGTTCTAGATCAGTTGCATGGTCCCCGCTGATCACATGCCTGCTCCAGAACATTTCCGCAACTCTGATCTGGAAGGGTTAGGGACACGTTCTAGATCGATTCAGGGTGGGTTCTAGATCAGTTTGCCATCTCTCTCTTTTGGTCGCAGCCCCAGCCGGCTCTGGGCCAGCTCTGGCACCAGCCTGATGTGAGCCGCTCCAGAACCCGCTCCAGAACACCCTGCTGGGTTCTAGTCATGCTCTGGGCCGGTTCCGGATCCCCCCCGTCCCTGGCGGCTCACCTCCCAGGATGAGGCGGGTGCCCTCTCCAAAGAGGTACTGGTTGGCGTACCAGACGGCGCAGAAGTAGGTGCCGGCGTCAGCGGGTTTCACGTTGCCGATGGTGAGGCTGAAGGCGTTGGTGTCACGCTCCAGGCTGGCGATGAAGCGCTCCGAGACGCCAACCCCGTACGTGGGCCTGTTGTCCCCGGCCCGGTGACTCAGCAGGAAGACGGGACCCTGCCCGGGAGGCTGGTGGTACCAGGACAGGACATGGGTGGTGATGTCGCTCCCTGACATCAGGCAGCGGAGCCGCGGGATCTTCTCGTCCACCACGTGGGACGGGGACGGCTGGGTCAGCCGGGGTGGCCCCGCCAGGGCCCCTGCGGGGAGCGGAGAGGAGTGAGGGGCTGGGCTGGGCCCCTGGAGTGGGGAGCTCACACCCACACAGACCCCGACACCGGTGCACACAGCCACACATGAGTGGGGGAGTGGGGGTTGGGAGCCAGGACTCCTGGGTTCTCTCCCTGGCTCGGGGTGGGGGAGTGGGGGCTGGTGGGTTAGAGCAGGGGGGGCTGGGAGCCAGGACTCCTGGGTTCTCTCCCTGGCTCTGGGAGGGGAGTGGGGCCTGGTGGGTTAGAGCGAGGGGGACTGGGAGCCAGGATGCCTGGGTTCTCTCCCCGGCTCTGGGAGGGGAGTGGGGCTGGTGGGTTAGAGCGAGGGGGACTGGGAGCCAGGATGCCTGGGTTCTCTCCCCGGCTCTGGGAGGGGAGTGGGGCTGGTGGGTTAGAGCGAGGGGGACTG